TTTGCTAGGTGGTGCGAGACAGCTTTGTTTGCAACCCGGACGAACTTCGTTTAATTCAATGAAGCAAACAACTGACAATGCTAAAATAAATTACAGAGGTACGCTAAAATTAATTGAAAACAACCAAATAATTTCAATGAAAAATAACTCACAGAGAGAGGTAACTTCATACATTACGGTAACAACTCTTTTGACGCGCTGACCGCTTCTCCGCGTCTGATGTTTTGTTTTCCTTGTCATAATACTTACTGATTGATGATTTTGTTTTGATTTTTGAGTTTTTTAGCCTGCAACTCGGCCACGACCTTTGCTTTTTCCGTGAAAAATGGGGAAGTTTACGTCAATTTGACGGACATTCCATTTTTTTAAACTAACGAAGCACACTGTTTAGCACTCCTATTTTTTCATTTGCCGATTTCTATTTAGAAAAATTCGACAGCTCGAAAATGCACCTTAATTTTGCACTCTTAAAACATGTCAGATTTCCAACACAAATTATTTAAAACCGGTCGAAATTTTAAAAACTTTTACGTTAGGAGCTGGAGCTCTCTTCTTGCAGGCGACCGTCGCCGGTAGTACAACAGCATGTTTTGAACGTACGTACATCCGTGCGCTGATTGTCTGCGACTGTCTTAGAAAATCCCTGAATAAGGCGTTGCCAAAATCGGAAAAAATAAAAAAATGCCTCCTTAAAAAACGAACAGAATTCAAATATTTCTTTTAACAAAGATGTTGCAGTGGGAAAAATGGATGTGGATTCCAGTGGATTGGAAACGATGAACAAAATTTCTGTGCCTCGCCTTTCGATTCTAGGATTACGCGATTATTCATTATTGTGCGTTCGCTTCCTGGAATTGGTTCTCAATACTACATAAAAATCATCAAGGATAAATAATTTAATATCCCACTTTGTACTCTTCACGGTAAACCATAGGCTCTGAAATACTCGTAGATATTTTTATTGAAAATACATCGAAGAGAAGCCATGATGTTTTGATCGTGATAAAAGGTCACCTTCCTAGGACCGCCCCCAGTTTAATAATTCATGAGATGAGGTCATATTTACTGGGCATTGCCACGTGTTTTTACCGACCCCATCAAAACACTGGTATGAATGACGTGTTTCTGATTTATATATTCAAAAGCAGTTATTTTGGTCCAACGATTTTACATAAAATGTCTATGTCTATACGTTAACTTTCAATTTCAATAGTCTAGAAAGTATGACAAAGTATGACAAAGCAGTAATTCCCGGTTTAACGCGCAAATATGCAAATTAGCCTTTTTCTCGTCTTCTATTTTTGGTGAATTCTTGGGTTTTAAATTAAAATAGCTGATAGACGCTTTGGCCATTTGCCTCAAAATTTTCACACATTATTGACAAGGTGTTCCCCCTTCAAAATGCGTCCGGACAGTTTATTACGGCGAGTGGAACAAAAATAACAAGTCCGCAATTAACATGGATATATAAATTACGCAAAAATAGGAAAGAGTGAACTTTGAGGTCATGCTGTGCAACTTTGAAAGTCGTTAGAGAGATGAGTGGACACATTTGAATTAGTAGTATACCAAGGTATCCAGTGATGTAATTTTACCCACAAATGGACTTGAAGTTTTTAAGCTAATTTTTTTTAAACCACTTTTGTCCAAAAAAGCATATTTTTGACCCAAAATCAAAAACGCATTCTGGATATTTAAAACAAGTCATTGTCAATGACACGTCCCCGTTCCGTTCATATTTGAGTGACATATACATTCAAAGCAGATCATGACCGAAATGCACCTGCATATGTACAACACATTGTGCTAAATCTGAACAAAATCCATCCATGCACGACTGAGATCCGGTTCTGGAATTGTGAAAATATGTGATTTTGATGCATTTTCGGCCTTAAAATGGCCATCATTCCTCTATTGTTAAGCAGATCATGAAACAAATGCACATATCTATTTGTGACATGATGTACCATGTGTGTGTGAAGTTTGAACTTGATCAATCCAGACATGTCTTGGATACGGATCCAGAACTGAATTCTTTAAAACAAAATGGCCGCCAGTCGGCTATTTCGAACTTGATCCGAAAAAAAAATGACGTGCATCAAGGTCCTATTATGTTTAATGTATGTACCAAATTTGAACAAAATCCATCCATGCATAACTGAGATACGGGTCCGGAATGGTGAAAATGTGCGATTTCAATGCATTTT